ACTCCGGTGGTAGCCCTTGCTGTCGGCGGCTTGTTCGCTGCTCCTGGTTGGCGTCGGTGTCTTCTCCGCGACGTGGGCGGGGTTCACGGCTTGACGGGGGCGTCCGGTACATGAACGAAGCAGCATCTCCACCAGATGTCACGGGGTCGTGACGTGGCCGAAGACAGGAGGCTTCGTGTTGGGATTTAACTGTTTATTTGGGCGAACCTGGGCCCGGTAAACGGAAAGTCCAATTACAGCAGCAGTCTCGCACAGATAGCAGTCTCGGACTGATAGCGGCGAACAGAGCGTCGGCCTTCGATCAACAACTGACAAGCGGCGAAGCGCGTCGGCATTTATACTCTTGCCGTCGAATGCTCTAGCGTTATCGCTGGCGGCGGCGTAGGTTCCAGAACAATCTGTACCGTTCGCACAGTGGGCGTGATCTTATCGAAATGATCTACTACAGTCCGGAACCTTCTCGAAAACTGCAGGCGCGGTTCGCGCTGAGAATGGTGTGGTGTTTTGGGACGATAACAAAAACTTGGGAAATGGAACGTGGCAATATGGTGATCTGATGCATGATGGTATGTTGTTCAGTATTTTGCGGAGGAACGAAATTAGTTACGTAACGTGTTGCAGTAGCAGTCGAAAGTCAATAATAATAATAATAATAATAATAATAATAATAATAATAATAATAATAATAACTTTTCTCCGAATCACGGTTTCATTATGAGGAGCGCCTCAGCGAAGCGCTCCGAAAATGTTCACTATGTGGTTGAAACTGAAATTTCGCCTAGTTAGTTTTGATCTAAATACATATTATGCAGCGAAAAAGACCGGGACAGAGAAATATGCACACAAGACGACCGCCAGATAGAACAGAAAATTTTACTGCGGACACTAGAGGTATATTGTGAAACAACAAAAATTATAAACTGATAGTGACGTCACCATTCTACCGTCAGGGCTAGCTGCGCGTCGCACATGCATTCCATAAGCCAATTTCTTTTTTTGGCACACTTATCTGGCTGTCCGCGTATATACATGGCATCTCTCGTTGGATCTGGCCCTGTCCGGACATCCGAGTTTCACAAAATGCAGGGGTGCACTCACACCGCTTACAATGATGGACCACATCGCCCACCACGAAAAGCGATGAAGCCGCTGTTCGATGATATTTCACTGAAACAGCGCTCCATCTGTGCCACATAACATTAACGATGAACTGTCTGCGCTGAAGTGTCAGTGCGGCTCTCTAAGAAGTCTTGCAGCCACAGGGCCATGAGAAAGATTAAAAGCGCAAATGACCCGCTTTCCAGACGCAGGGTTCCCCCGTGTGGCGCCTGTCGTGGAAAGCCTTCTCGACGAAGTGATGCCCGTACTTCCACAAAGGAAGACCGAAGCCGACGTGGTACTCGGCAAGTATGAGAGCCCTACCGCATTCATCAGCTTACACTGCAGATGGCTTGAAGGATGTGGCCAATAAATGTGATGCCGATGTGCTCTGCCTTATGCACCGAGTAAGTTGATGAGGCCGGGCCCTGCTGCGAATGAGAAAAGGAGGTCATAAATGCCCAAGAAAAACAATAAAACGCGCTACCAGGTTGGTTTCTTGTGTTGAACACATCATATACAGCATACCACTGTCATGCAAAAAAAAATGTTACGCGGGGCAGACGGGGTGTTGTTTGAATGAGAGGGCATCATACGGCGGCTTCATCACTTGCCGTATGGGGCCCCTTGGCCCATCATTGTAAGCGGTGTGGGTGCACCCCTGCATTTGGTGCAACTGAGCTATTGGGACGAGGCCACATATGACGCGAGAGGCCATGTATATACACAGGCGGCCAGATAAGTTTGCTCTCAATTTTACCAAAAAGCCACAGCTTTTCTCAAAGGTGAAGCAGTCAACACGATAGCAACAAATTCGAAGGTCACGCGCAGAATGGCAATCAGATGTAAACGTGACCTCCATTTCTCACGCAGAAATGACGCAGGAAACGTACTCACAGGTATGAATGAACGCGAATGAGCGTCTCAAATGTTAATTCGCTGTGTTTGAAAAACGCGCTCTTTTCGCGAACGGAGACTGCAATGATTGCAGTGGCCATTAAGCGCTTGGTAACTACAACAGAATCGTTCCTGTGAAAACACAGGCCCCAAGGCCAGCCAAGACGTACGATTCTCGCCACTGAGAGATAAGGCAACACCACCTAGACTATTCACAAGGCCCGTTCATACCCCTTTCTCAAGACGGCATATGTCACGCTAGTTGTTCGACTGTCCAGTGGCCGAGGACGCGTTGCTCAGGCGGTGGTGTTGGTGACCCCGCGCACTTTTTTACCCCGAACGGCGGACAAGCCACGACAGGTTCGCCTTTCATCGCTACCTGCTTCGCTGGTTAGACTGCGTTAGGCTTGGTGCTGCATCGCACTGCTGTGAGTCTTCGTCTGTTCCCACGTGTCCTATTTTATTGGTGTTGCATTTGTGAGTATGTGATTACACATCGATCAGTGCGACATGGGACGTTGTTGTGTTCCCGGGTGCCGCGGCAATTATGAGAGTGGTCCTAAAGTGCGTGTTTTCGCATTCCCCAAGGATGAAGTTTGGAAGAAGTCTTGGATAAAAGCCATTCCGCGAAAAGATTTCACACCAAGCAAACACTCCAAGGTGAGAAACTGCTGAAATTTGTCTTACCGGCTCTATCGCATTACTGGTGTTCTGGTTCTGTTACTGTTGAACGGAGCGAGTATCGTGAGTAGTGATGGTAGTTTTGTCGCACTTCAGGTAGGGCAGTGCGGTAAAATAGAACAGAAATACTCAGGCTCGTGTCAAAGTTCCCATTAGCCCGTTTAGTATGAAAGTAATTAAGTCACTGTTATGCTTGGCGCAGGTATGTGAACTCCACTTCCTCGAGGCTGACAAAGATGTCACATTTTGAAGCAGCGTCGGGACGGACGTTGACAGTCGACAGAGAGAGGGTGCGCCTTGTGTCAGATGCTATACCATCGGCTGCATATGCCGTGGCTGCTTGACAAGGGAAACACATTCTGCGTTGGGACTCACTTGCTACTCCCTTGTTGAGCTGTCGCGGTACTGTTTAGAAGAACGGAAGTTCAAGTATGTCTTGCTGGGAAAATTTCAAACTGACATTCTTGAAGATCGCTTCGGTTGCTACCATGAGCTTGCTGGTGCACAATATCATGTTTCCGTGCGGCAGCTTCTGGAGTCTGAAAAGAAAATTCGTCTGCAAAAGCTGCTGATGCTTCCGCAGCCAGACATCAGCAGCGAAAGTGACACAGAAGTATCACAACATAACTTCTCTGTTCACATCTCAAACGATGAAATTTCCAACCCAAATCGTGACATGGAGGTCGCTGCTTATATCGCTGGATATTGTGCTCAATCAGCTCTGAAGAAGCTGTCATGCGCATTTTGCAGCAGCGTACTCGTCCTGGAGAGCAGGAACATAGATGTGCAAGGTAACACAATGATTTACAACTTGTCAAAAGGAAGCTTAAATTTTCCACAGCCATGTACTGTGCACATGGTGCTGGTGACAACGCTTCTTTCGAGAAGCTCACCAAGGGAGAAAATGCAAAGGCGTTCCTCGCGTCGAACAACCAACGTAGCATTGTCAGCTCCATTACCTTATCACTGCTAGGAGATGTTGAGCTAGAGACTTGTGAAAATGGCCATAACTCTGAGACTATCGTGCAGCATGTAGTGCGTGTTGCAACAAATGTCGCTCTGAACAACTTTTGTACACTTCGAAATGACCCCATCCAAGGCACCGCACAAAAAAGACAGCTGACAGAAAAATCAAAACCTTGAACAAGAAATGAGGTAGGATGGTTTTAGTCTTTCGTCCTAATGAAACCACTTCTACAAATGCATTTCTGACTATTACAGTTTGATGACTAAAGCGTAAAGGCAGGCGTAAACAAACGCACACAGCACAGGAACACAAAGCACAACATAAAAGAAACACCGGCTTTCAATAAGTGCCCACAGAAGATATAACGAGAACGACTGGCGACGACGGCCGAGGTGCAGGTGGGCAACTAGCGTGACGTCACGCTCTCCCTGAAGGGGCCTTGTCAGTAGTTTAGGTGGTGTTGGATGAGGGTGCACGAGTGAGCGACCACCCCCTCCTCTCTGCACGGAAAAAGTGGCGTAGAAGATGAGATCGCGCGCCACCGCGTCGTGACGATGTGGCGACGCGCGCTAATTGCACCATCTTGCTGGTAATGCGAAAAAAACAATAGTTCCCCTTCCCCAGAATTGCCCGTCACCAGCGGTAAGTGGTAGATATAAATAGCTTGCCGTCTGACAGTTCAAAGTCATGCTTCTCCGTGGCTTAGTGGTTAGTGCCTCACATTAACGTTCCACAGAGCCGACGTTCCTTTCCACGTGCCGGAGTTTCTTTCTGAATTACTTTCGTTTTCACATTTATAGAAACGTAGTCATATGCGGTGAGTGACATCGACGATGACGGAAAAATCCAGCCGAGAGTGTGCATATTGCTATGAAAAAAGAAATTGGCTTAAAGGGCGAATGCATGCGCGACGCGTAGCTTGGCACATGCATTGACGACAGAATTGAAACGTCACTATCAGTTGATATTTTTGTTGTTTTTCAGCTTGAATATCACGTGTCCAGACTAAAACTTTCAGCTGAAGTCTAGCAGTCTTCTCATGCATATTTCTGTGTCTATGTTTTATTCCACTACAAAATGCATTTACAGCCATCTGGTGTTTAATGTCCAGTGAGATACCAGCACCCAAGGGTACAATACACTAAATACCATCGAAATGCGACTGCCTCGGTCGTGATCGAACTATTCGAATGGGCGGTCGGGCTCCGCAACCACCTGACCACCACGTCGGAAAACAGACGAAAGTTAGAGCCCGCCTTCCTGTATTTTTTCTCGGAGTTCTGTTAAGCACATAATGCTTGCAGACTATCGTTTTGATCGGACATAGTACGCACAACGTAATCGAGTAAATACTCACATTCTCTACGAGGTCGTCGACGAGGCCCCTCTCGGGTTTCTTGGTGAGCAGCACCCCGAGCAAGTCTCGGCGAGACTGCAAGTGGGCGAGGCGACGCGTGAGCGTGCGATTCTTTGCCAGCTGCACCTCGAATGCCTCGCGGTAGATTTCAGCTGTCTTGGCGCTGTCCCTAGCCTCGGCCTCCAGCCGCTTGGTGCGCTCGATGAGTTGGGCCAGCTGGCGCTGCTTGTGGGCCGCCGCGTGGGCGCAGCCGCACGGCTCTTGGCGGGCTCCGCGGCATGGGCACGCCGCCAGGGCGGCCAGCTCGAGCGGCGACCGGCTACTGGTGGCCGCCGGCTGCAGGTACACGTCACGCTCCTTGACGTCCGTCAACGCCAGCAGCTCGTCGCGCTCGCGTCGCAGCACTGCACATGGTATTTCTTCGCCGTTCATATCGCCTCCTTAGCGTAAACACATCAAGGTATGACAGACATAACACGACATGCCTGCTGCGTAAGTCATGAAGACGATTCCTACAGTCACGGCGATTATACGCACGCATTACCCGGCTCAAGGTACATGGCAATGCGCCATCCAATCCGGGACAACGATAATAAATATTCAAGCAATTTGAGTTCATTAAATGAGCCAAATAGCCCCGCCGCGGTAGTCTAGTGGCTAAGGTACTCGACTACTGCAAAAAAATAGCCCCGCAGGTCGCGGGATCAAATCCCGGCTGCGGCGGCTGCATTTCCGATGTAGGCGCAAATGTTGTACGCCCGTGTGCTCAGATTTTGGAGCTCGTTTAACAGCCCCAAGTGGTCAAAATTTCCGGAGCCCTCCACTACGGCGTCTCTCATAATCATATGGTGGTTTTGGGACGTTAAACCCCACATATCAATCAATCAATCAATCAATCAAATAAATCGAATACTTACACACTCTTATAGTTGGCGATTTCAAGTTCCCGCACGAGAGCCTAAACATGTATTCAGTGATTTCGGAAACGATTACGTTGTGCCAGTTGGTGCACAGCTTTTTGAAAGTTTTTTGGTGCAAACTGAGAACGTAGAAAATTAAAACGAGCAAGATTTTCATTCCTTAAATAGCACAGCCTGCATAAGTGCAAATGTTTATTGTGTCACTGTGCAAAGAAATAAATTCAGAACAATTTACAAAATCTGCTAGCGAGTTTAAGGTGTTAGCCTGTAAGATATATATATATATATATATATATATATATATATATATATATATATATATATATATATATATATATATATATATATATATATATATATATATATATATATATATATATATATATATATATATATATATATATGCGGGCAGCTAAGCGAGCAGGGGAAGATGAAGTAGATAGAAAATAACAACAGCACGCCCGGGATCGGGTGCTGTCTCTCTGCCTTTATTCTTACAATGGCGCAGCTCGACAAGTGAACCAATGTCGCGGTTCACCGTAAGCGGACCAGCGAGACGTTTAGTTCAAGAACTGATGGCGTGAACAGAGCCAAGAGCAACGACATACACACAAACACATCGTCTTCTTCCAGTGAGACTGTTGACGCGCACATCACCTTCGGTGTCTTTGTCTTCCCATTTCGAGTGCGGCAATATGCTATAGTGCAGTGGCCATGTTAGAATGTACTGGCTTGCATCAGTAAACTGATAGCTGAAACTACATAGGCGATTTCTAAAAACAAAATTGCATGTGCGCGAAAGTGTCTCATCGTGTTACTTTATGAATGCGTACCGAACGACAAGCCTGTGTTTTCTCGTATGTGTTAGCAAAGTGCAGACGATTATGAGCACCCTGCGACCTTCAGCGGCGGCTCGTGTGCGCTGCGCCGCAGGCTGAAAGCGCGTCGCATCGATGCTCATCGCTCCTTGTGCGGACACCGTACGCCAGAAACAATGATTCAATCAAGTTAATTGATGACAAGGCTCGACTTTACAGTCTTTCGTACTCCTCGGCATAGCATAATAGTAAACCCTGAAGGTTTCGTGCCGTCTTGCTGCCAAGCAAATGATGCCGACCAGTTTAACTCCAAAACTAAACGTTTAATAAAACTAAAAGAACTAAAAAACTACTCGATACAACAGTACGGGAACACACCCCGCTACTAACCTTCACCCTGCTTGGGCGCACCCTTCCGGTTCGTTGCCGACTGTCTGGGCCGTGTCACGGCTGCCGCTTTTAAAGTCTGCGAGTGGGACACGCGCATCACAGGTGTGCAGCACGTGTCACGCAAGTTGCGCGATGGGCATAGAGATGTGTAGTATATAAAGAGGGGCCACTGGAGCCTTTTCGCGGCCTATAGCAAGATGGAGTCTGACCAATCGCCAGATGGCATACCTCTGCTCACTTTTACTCTTTTGTTAACATATATCATAGCCGCCTCAGGAGGACAAGAATACCCAAGTATGGCATCAATTTCTTGCAAGGAAGAGGTTATATTCATTTGTTCGTTTTTCCATATCTGATCTACATCACGTGCCGATGAGGATGTTCAATGCCTTACAAGAAAAAGCAGTAAAGTCTAACTAGAACGTATTGTCTTTCTGAATTCGTTTTGCACAGAGACACATTCTCGTGGTTTAGATGTACTGTACATGTATTCTCTTAGCGAAAGCATGGTCGTGTAGCCTAGTCGTAAACCCAATCGCTTTCGGAGCATGAGGGTACGGGTTGAAATCCTAGTGGCGGAAATGAAACATTTTGATAATTTGTTTATGCTGAAGACGTTATCGTGTCTGACCGGACACTCGTGGCGCTGAAAGCAGTTCAGTAGCTCGGCTGCAGGGCCCTACGGGAGTGTCCGCTCTTTTTGTAAGTATGTTCCTCTATGCGATGGGCGTGATTCCCACAACCCAGAAGCGCCGATGACATGTATGACGAACTCGACCGCTAAGATTCGCCGGGAGCTGTACTCGTACGGGTCACCGATCACGGTGCAGGTGGCTCGCGACAGTTGAAGTTTGGACATTCCTCAAGCCTCTCACTGTCGCGTTAAAATGTACACGAGGTTATCAAAACTATAGAGATCGTCAGAGACACGTTGGAGTTGTGGATTTGTCGACAGGCGTTGTTTTTCTGGCGTACTAGCATACACACCGCGGCATCGCATGTCGTATGGGACGCCGGATTGCAACGCACGTAGATTATTTCTCAGTCAGCACTGCTGAAAAATTGTACCAACTCTGTGTGTAAGCGCCTTGGTACAACTCTCAGGCTTCAGTATCAGTGGCTTCACCACGCTGAGATCAATATGACAGAATGCCAGCTTATATATAATTAGAATTTAGTAATGAAAATGGCGTTGAATGTCTAAGAAATTTATATTAAAAGGTCGACGTGCCTACAGAGTACTTAATGATCACCAGATATCTTCACGTTCTAGATGTACGCTTGCTCTTCAAAACGCGTAATAGAGACATTGCGCCACCTGCACTAGAAGGGGACTAGACATCGATAGTATAAATACCAGTTGCTGTATGAATGGTTGTCCGTAGCGCGAGAGGTATATATGTTCAGTGTTGCCGTTTTCTGTGTTGCGTATAGTATATGTGACGTAAATTTGAAGCAATCTATGCAGTTCACTGTTTTCAGAAAATGCTCGAGACGCTAGTTTCAGCGCAGCAGGAGTTATTCTAATCTTGAAGGGAGTTGACGCACTCTCGCCCGACCAGATTGTAAATGTTTGTGAGAGAGTAGGTAGTGCTAATCCCGCAGAGAGTGCATGAACTCTCTCTCAGAAATGTGGCTGTACTCTGGCGAGGGAGCTTGTTCACTCTCGTTCAACCTGAATACCGCCACACCAACGAGTGAGTGTGTCTACTCTGAGCAGCACAGAGTTCCAAGCTCTCCTGAAAAGAAACTGAAATATGGGACAAGCTTCTACTCCCGCAAAGAGAGTAGTCAGCACTCTCTTGGGGCTGTGAGTGTTAAGGAAACAGGCGCAGTAGCGTGTGTGCATTTTGTAGTGGTTTACCGGCTTTAAACCAAGAAGTCATTTTGATGATCACATCTTCTGACGCTCGATTGTCATGGGTGCTTGTACCACAAATTATTACTGCAACATATGATGTCACATTGTGAAGCATGTGTACAGGACGCATGTGTTTGTAAAGTATGTGTCACTTTCACTGCATTTCAAGGCACAGGAAGCTATTTTCAATATATTCACAAGCACACGCTTAGCCGTGTGATAAAACATCCGCTTGCCGCTGAAACGACGTGGGTTCAATCTCCACTCGCACTGAAACAACCCGGGTTTGATCCCAACTCTGACACAGGATTTTTAGTTATTTATTCTATTTGTATCGTTCTGTATATTTCTGTGACGCATATGATTATTTTTCGCTCACAATCAAAGACGCCGATGTCAAAACCAATGCAGGAATTTCGCGAAACCAGCTCTTTAGCATCAAACTAGGGGTCGATAGATAAAACAAAATGGTGAAACATTTTACATGCGACAGTTTATTGAATTTTATTATTAAAGCAATGGCACAGAGCCCTAAATATAACATAGGCCACATCGAGGAAGAACACTCTGGTCAGAGGCGTACCAACTTTTTTGCGAGTGGGGGCAAATCTACATCACTCCTCTGCTGGGATTTATATATATATATATATATATATATATATATATATATATATATATATATATATATATATATATATATATATATGTCTCCACTAATTTAAGCAGGAAGGGGGAAGTGGGGAAAAATATTACTAGAAGCGTCCTTGCAACTGACTCGGGTCATTGCGGACCATGGTGAGCGTAAGGCCGCTGAATACAGTGTCGCGGAGGCCACGCAGAAATTAGTATCTAATCTCGGAGAGCATGAGGCAAGAGAACTGGAAAGATATGAACTAAAGAGAGATGCGAAAGTTCAATAGTAAAGATAGAAAACTATATCAGGACTGTAGAACCTCCACTGCTCTGCAACAGGAAAATAGGAATGAGACCCTACAAGAACGCCAGGGACCACCCGTACCACAACTTAACTTTGAGGAGAAAAATGGGAACTCGAAACTACAGTGCGATCCCAATCAAAACAGCCTTACTCTCGATGATGCTGACACTCCCGTGCCACGTGATAGCCGAGAGCAGCCAAAAACTTATGAGACAAATGTCCTCAATCTGTCCAACACAACGCTTACACCCGCTCAACTACAAGTTTTGTCGAGAGGCTTAACATTTTGTCCATTATCAGGTAGATTCAATGAATTTGAACTGTACCAAGACCTCATCAACTTTGCGCGTAATCTCCGCCTCCGTGAATACTTTCATGATCGCAAGGACTGTACGGACGAGAATAGATTGATTGGTGGTGACAAATCATGGTGTCCAGGTGAGCAGAAGGACAAACAACTTGATATGTATATATCAGC